TCCATTGATTTCAGGATGATTAATACATTGTTCCTGTTTTCTGAGAAAAGTTTCCTCTGTTTCCAGCTATGGGTGGATAATTATGTATTTTATTTTGATTCACTTTTGGTTTAGCTGTGTCATGCATGAAGGCCCCATTATGTAATGCAATCATTGTTTATTCTGCAACTGAAATTCGGTCCTCAGTAAGGAAACTGATCAAGAGCTGTGTTTCATTCACTTCATTTGATATAGGATCAGAGAAAATAATATAGCTGCAGATAAGCCACCAAAGTGGAACAAAGAGAGGTGTGATTCACTTGGTGCAAACCAAAAGCTGATGCTGTCAGTTCTGAGGAAAAGAAGGTACTGGGAAGAGTTCTGTCAGAGCTCAGTAAAGTAAAACCAATTTACTGACTGGGGCCAAGTGTTCATTTTGAAAGCTGTTTTATATCTCTGATCAACACTGCCTAGAAAAGCAGAGTATCTTGTCTGCTACTACAGATGGTTGTACTTATATGATAGAAGTTACTTAATAATAAAGATTAACCTATGAAAACAGATCATCTGCAAATTTAAGCAGTTGTACAAACATTCTGCAGATTTAGGACTTCTTTCTTTGTCAAAGCTGTCAGCTGTAAAAGTAACAAACATTTGTGCTTCTTATTGCTATTTTTTTTATCGTAGTGATGTAACACAACTGCTTTTTGTTAGGTAGTTTAATTAAAGAAGCTGAAGCAAATGCCTGCTGTTTCATATTAATAAGCAAAATGCACAATATATAATTTAGATTGAGAAGTCAGTACTCACATTGAAAATCACGGTAAAACCACTTTGTTTAAATTTGGAACAGCCTGCTTGATCATTTCTGTTCTCATATCACACAAACTTCATCTGGAAGTTCAACATCAGTGCAATTATTTTCTCTTTGGTTTAAATTGGAGCCACTGGTCTTTTAGGGAATTATGAAACTTTAATGCTTTGTTACTCACACGTAGAAGGAGGGGGAAAAGATGAGAAGAGCTGTCACTTTGCTCTGTAGTGTGATAAAGTTGCTTTCTCTCGCAAGTGAATGTAAACTGATTTTTTGTGTAGAGAGGATAGGTTACACGCACACCTCAGACACTTTTACAAAAGGCTCATTAGTATTTTCTTACATGTAACTACAGACATCACTTCAGAGCTGGATCTTCTTGTACATGAGCTAAAAGAAACTGGGGGACTACTTATATAACCTAAGGATCCAGTTTTGTTGGCTGGCTTTGCTAGGCTTCTGTTATCAGGAAGAAAGATAAGCTTATCTGGAGGAACTCTTTTCTTTGTCTACTGTGATTTAAAAAACAAAAAACAAAAAACTTCCTCTGTAGGCTCTGTACTGTACTTCATATACTGTGCTTGTGTATCAACGGCTGAATGGGTGCCTCTGCTGGTCTAAAATGTCAGGGAGACCTGGTGAAGAACTGAGAAGTCTTAATGGGAGGAAAAACTTTCTCAAAGTCTATATCTCTATGTTTATTTCAGTTATGGATGGGTGGATGCATTGCAAATGGAAACATCGTTTACAAAAGTACACTGAGCACAGAACAGCAGAAAACTGCAGGTTATGGTTTGTATATCAAATCCAGCGTTGGAGATATCCACAACCCCAATAGATGTGTCTGTGCAAGGCAGCCCTGTATTGTTAAGTACTGGCTGTGTTGATTTGATGAAACTTTTACTTGTAAATATTTATTCCAATGCTTTGGAAAACCCAAATTGATAGCTTAATGATTGCTTGTTGGTTGTAATGGTATAAAATAATATGGTAAAAGAAAAATCAGGTTAATTGAAGGCAAAATCTGTTAATTAAAGGCCTAATACCACTTTTATCTGTTGCCTTCCTAGTTAGGTGAGTGCTTCCATGCTAAAAAGGAAAATCTTGCGTGGGATCATTATTGTTATATAGTGCATGCATGCTCAGTCCATCCCTTACGTGATTATAGGTGTTTTATAGGCATCTAGTTTAATGCTGCCTCCATAAATGTTACTTTCTAGTTTGAGACAAGCTGTTCCTTACACTCTAGTATGTGCACCCCAAAATTAGTGCAGCAAGCAGTACTTTGCTTTACAGGTCAGGAACTTTGTGTGAACATGGAACAGACCATAGACATATTCATTCTTTCTGGAACACCGCACGGATGACATAAACAGCAGTAACCTTTTCAAAGGATCGAGTATGGTAACTTTAAAGAATCAAGGTAACAAAAAGACTTCTGCTTTTATGTTGAGCATTCAACACAAGCACAGGGGGAGGTAGTCTGTAATCATGTCTTGTTTCCATGTGTTCATAGTATACCATTAGAGAAGAGACTGTAAAGTTAATTCACATTACAATTGTGGAGCAATTGGAGCTATGAATGTGATGTTTGTATTACATGTGTGCATAACCTAGGCACTTTGCTGGGCTTTGCACGGTACTGAGGCACTTCACTGTCAGTGAAGGAAATCATTGCTACAGGTAGAGAAACCATTACTTTCTAGTAATAGTAATAATAATAATGAAAAAAACCTTTTATATGCTCTTACAATATACTTAGAAATTAAACTGTGAAGCAGTGCATGCTGTGATTTGTGTTGCATTTTGGCACATGGCATATATGCAGCCTGCTCACATTAGGCTCCAGTGAGCTATGCTCTCTAATGAAGTAAAGAAATGATTCTGAAAAGTGATGGGAAAAAAACCAAGGAGCACAGTTCCTGTATCTGTACTGGCAATTTGATATATTAGATTTCATACGACTTACATCCTGAGTCAAGTGTGTTAAAGCTGTTGTTTGATTCTGAAGTTTTCGTGTAAGGCTACGAATGTTTTGCCCTCTAGCAAAATGTCACTTAATTCTTAACACTTCTCTGGAATCTATAAAGTAATTAGGTGTTTTTGTAATCTGGTAAATGCAAACTGGCTTGTCAGCTTAAGAGAAGAGAACTGGGGAAATACTAAAGAGAAAATTATGGTGAGTGCTATTGGATTAGAGAGTGAAAAGTGTAAAGAAGACCTGGTGATCTATGTGTTCTTTTGAAGAATGCAGGAGTGCATCTAACATGGAATATATAAACCTGTAGCAAAAGACCTGAGCATGAAGATCTCTCTCTGATGTTGTGGTAGTCACTAAAAAACAAACAAAAAACCTAATTTTTTTTTTTGACAGTGCCATTGTTGTGGTTTAACCCCAAAAAGCAGCTCAGCCCCACACAGCTGCTCACTCACTGTCCCCAGGTGGGAGCAGATGGAATCAGATTATCATTTGCAGGAAGAACTGGTATTTTCTAAGCGGTTGAAAATACATTTGTTGTATATTCTCCAGGCTGCTACTCACAGCATTTTAAGATTTAAATTAAAAAAAAAAAAAAAGTGGTCTAAATCTGTGCATCTGTAGGGAGAGTTACATTGGTTAAAATGACTTAGGGAGGTGGTAAAGACCCTCTAGCTCTGCTGGTACCATTTTTTTTTTTTCTTTTTTTAATTGCATGAGTCTTGATCTCCTTGCTGGTTTTGGAAGAAAAAAGGAACCACAGGTGTCTTGGAAGTGGCCTAAATTTTAACAGCAGCAAAAGTGAAATAAAAACGCATTAGATATCTGGTGATGAGCTGACAAAGGTGCAGAAGGCAGGCAGGTGCTGCATATCTCATCTGAAGTGTATGCTAAGTGTTGGGCTCACAGAGTGAAGCAGCCTTGTGTATTTTTAGAAGTGTGAGAATTGTTGTGGGAAGCCAGATCCTTCTATATTTCTCCTCTGCTTCCCTTTGGAGGCTCTCACGTTCCCCATGTTTTAATTTCAAGCTCCAATGTATTGTTATTTAAGAAAAATATTGTTAGCAATGCTTGTAACTTCACTGCTTTGTCCAATAGAAGAAAGCAGGCGCAGGCAACTTTTTACTTTTCCCCATCATACAGTGGGAGTCCAATGGCCAAGAGGAAAGCCCTTGGGTAGGGGTGTCTACCAGCATGCAGTGAAAGCTCTAGCACATGTTGTTTCAGCAGGATTGCCTTTTTTTTTCCTGACATTGTCCTGTTGTGAAGGGAGGTGTATACTTGGCTGCCACAAATGCAAACTTAAATTAACTTGCACTTTCACCTGTAACAGTCACAGGTCAAGGATTGCCTGGGTTTTGTACTTTCATTTTTTTCAAGGCAGTCCACTTTCTGTCTTAAAGAAGATTCATGCTTCTTTATTGATCACTGTGTCTGTAGGATGAGAGGAATTTGCAATAAATAAAATGCTCTGAAAGTAAGTATTTCTCTGTGTGCTTGTGCACTAATTAACATGTATTTGAAATAAATACAATACAGCTAAAAATCTTGTAAATCTTTAAGTACATTCTTGGAATATTGTTTTTAGCAGTCCAGCTGAGGATGTTTTAAAGAACTTCAGCCAGAAAAGATTTGTGTATTTAAGACCAATCTCTAACAGGAATTATTTTCTGAACTGTTCAAAAGATGGTTTGTGATATGTTTAAGGCTAGTGCTTTCATGAAGTGATCAACTGCAAAGCCAATGAGGGTTTTGTTGTTTGTTGTTGTTGTTGTATTTTGTTTTTTAGATTTGAGTATGTTGAAATGAATGTCGTAATACTTACAATATTTACGATTACTGAAGTTCTTGGAAAAAATTCATTTATATTCAGGTCTGCAGTAGTAGAAATTCAGTCAGCGTTCATAGTGGGTACTTGCAAAGGCCATGGGTTCCTGCAGCTGCTTCTGGAAGATTAGGCTCATCTTTGATCACATGTAGACAAAGGAACTATTTTATTTATTTACTTTCTTTCTGGAGAAGTCATCAGGAACAATCCAGCTCAAGAATCTGTAATTTAAATCTTTCTAGTTTCAAATTTCTGAGATTGTTTTGATAAGGGAAGAATGCAGGAGTGGCAAAAGCGGAGGAGTACAAGTTATACAATAGGGAGGGCCTATAATAAACAGAAGTTAAGGAATCCACTTTTTAGAAGGGCTATTTGGAACAGTCAGTCAGGCAAACCAGCTGCTGCCTTGGGCTGCAGACTTGGGGAAGGCCTATGGCACTTGAATTGAGTGAAAAGAGGTCTAGACATGAGAGAGAGTGAGTAATGAGCTATGGTTGTAGTCTGATTTGAGACCTGTACGGCTTGGCAGGTCATAGTATTTTTCAGTAGGAAATATGTGCAACTCAACCTCAACGAATGTTCATCTTTTTCTCATAACATTCTTTAACTGTTCTCTTTGGTTGTGCTCCCAGTTCATTCCAGAAGGCGGCTTTCTTCAGACTGTGTTTAAACAGGATGCCTCTGCCAAGTGTCAGGTCAGTGATTTAGCTCTCTTAGCAAGTATTTTCTACTATTTTATTTATTCTAGAAACTTCTAACCATCACTTTGTAAAATCACAAAGAATGGCTGAATCGTATGAGTTTCCATCTCAGTGCAGAAAAGGTAGGCCTGAGCACCAAACTGAAGGGGACTAGCCCTTTCTCAGATACTTTCTGAGCAGCATTGCTGACCTTTACTACATACCTCTTTCCTGCTATTCTGCCAGAAGCATTGCCAGCATCATGTCTTATGAAAGTCAGTAGTAGAGCAAATTTTCATAGAAATCTGCTGCACCAGTCATTTTCTTGTTTTCTAGAGGCAGTAATTATTAACTTTTTCATAGCAGTGAACAAATAAGTTTGTTGGAAAGCTTTTTCTCAGCGAAATGTGTTAGAGTGGATATATTCAAGAGAAATTCAGGCCAGATAGTTGTTTTGTTGCAGCAGCAGTTTATTCCCATGTGCTGCCCTTGCTGGGAAGGAAGTAACAATAAAGTTGAAAGATATGATATTGGATAAAATACTGCCAGTCATAGTTCATAAAGCACTGAAAATGGGCAAGGAGTGGTGGGAGACACAAGAGGCCCTCAACAGATATCTTTCATTGGTGCTATTCCAGTGTAAGAAATATTCTGTGGATAAATGTCACGTGTGTGTAAAATGACTCTACTATCTATTTCCAGTGCTGATGCAGGAAAGGGTTCTGAGCAGACACCTATCCCTGTTCACTGAGAATAAGTTTGTGGTTCTCCCTGCCAAAAATATGAGTAGAAAAAACTGGATCATCTAAAGAGTTGTGTTTATGTATTTCTCTGGGGCTGCACAGAAGCCTGTTTGCTCTTCAGTTCAACGGAGTTGGTAGAATGTGGTTCATATTAGTGTCTAGGGTCAGAATAGGACCACTTATCTTCAAATGTCTGGTCATGTTCTAACCTGCCAGCAGTCCAGTGTTCAGTGTCTTATGGGATTTTAAGAGGGTATGTTAGCATAACCTGTACAAGAGAAAGGACAGAACTGGAAACAGTGTCCAAGATCTTAGAAGACTGCTGAATAATCTTTCAGGTAGAAATGTGTCGGAAAATCAGAGACGAGCATGCATACAGTCTTCAAACTGGCCTAAAATGTTTTTTAAATGGACAATTTGCAGAAAATGATACTATTATTCCATTATGCCTCTCCCAGATATTTAAGGGCAAAAAAGAAGTATTTTCTCTGGCAAGACTTGAGCTTCAGGCTGTAGATCAAACAGGTTGAAACATTTTTCTGACCTCTTTTTTTTCTTCTTCAAATAATCTTTTTTTTTTTATTGATTCTTTTATATTCCCATCAACATTATTCATATTATATTTCAAAGTGGTCTGGCCAACAGTCTTGATACAGAGACAAAAGTCTTGAGTACTGGTTAACCAAGCTAGTAAGAGATGCATATTTTCATCCTGAAGCATGATGTTGTCCTTGCAATATGTTATAGGTGCTTTGTCTCGATTTTACTGGCAGTTTCCAACACTAAGTACTTAAATGCTAATTCATTGGCTTTGAGCTCTGTCAGCCCTTCTTTTCTGGAGCTGCAACTGAATCAGTGTCCAACAAGTAGCAACGTTAATCATTCCTCCAATGTACCTGCATGCAAGAGGGAATGGAATTGGGATTGCTTGCATTTACTTAAAGCTGCATCTGTCTTTGATTCTGCAAAACTGTGTCCTTAAAACTACTGCTGGAGAATGCAGCTGTTTTTTACATTGCTGAAAGTTGGCTGACATAGTAGTAGCATCCAGACTTTCTTGGATGCTTCATGAAACATCATGATAAACATACAGCACTGCTAGTGCTTCTAGTTTGTTATTTGTGGAGGTGCAATTACTAAAAATAATTCTTTCTCTCATAAGAACGTTGCAGAAACAATAGTGCAGAAAATTTATCTGTGATCTACAATTAAAAAGGGCCAAGGAGGTTCCTGTATAAATAAATATCTTCCGTGATGATCCCCTCAGTCTCAGCTTTGATATGCTTTAGAATAAGTTAGGTCTGAGCTTTTTTTTGTAGCAGGGAAAGCCTCAAGAATGCGAAGTTGGATGTAGGCGATGCAGATGCAAGTCTGCACAGAACTTGTAGTAATAACAATGGGAGTTGTGAATTGCTGCCCTAATCTCTATTGGGTGTTAGTTCAAATATTCAGCAGTGATGTTTAATTGTGTGTTAAGTACTTCATTCCTTAAGATTAACCAAAAAAAAAAAAAAAAAGGGGGGGGGGGGGGGGGGGAGAGCTGCATGATGACTAGTGGGAGGCATTTCATTTTGATGGCTTGAGCTACTGGGATTTGATGTTTGCTTCTGGTTGTCTGTTTGGTTTATTCCTTAAAAAGTAAGGTTTGGAAGTCCAATATTAAGCCTTGGAGGAATGGGACCAAGGAGTCTGGCTGAAAGCTTTTTGGCAGCTTTCAGAGGTGTGGTTTATCCTGTAGATGGAAATCCTACCATCCTTCATCTCCATTCCTAGTATGACTAACATTAAACAGGAAAGCATTGCAATTTTTTTTTTTTTTTTTCTTCAAATGAGGCAAATACGAAGCTACTCCTGAGCAATTTTGATTTGTTTTCTTACCCTTGTGCCCATCATCTTTCTTAATCCTTTTTCTTTTGACTAAACTGTCCTGATCAAACAGGACTGTGCTCACCAATCTGTGGATGTGAGAAATAAGAAACATGAAAATAAGCTTCTTCAGGAAGGAAGAATTAGATCTCTGTCCCTTTGTTGGGGTCCTGTGCTACCTGAAGGTGAGGGTTTGAAGGTCAGTAAGGTGTTTTAAATGTGAAGTGGTATTAGTGGAATTAGGTAGAATCGTACAATGGTTTGGATTGAAAGGGACCTTAAAGCCCATCCAGTTCCAGTCCCATGCTGTGGGCTGGCAGCCATCCACCAGCTCATCTTCCCGGGGACCCATCCAGTCTGGCCTTGGGCACTTCCAGGGTTGGGGCACTCACAGCTCCTCTGGGCAGCCTGTGCCAGGCCTCACCACCCTCTGAGTGAAAAATGTCCTCCCAATATCTAACCGAAATCTCCCTTCTTTTAATTTAAAGCCATTTCCCCTTGGCCTATTGCTATCACACCATGTAAAAAGTGAGCCTCCCTCCTGTTTATAAGATCCCTTTAAGTACTGGAAGGCAGCAGTGAAGTATCCCCGGAGCCTTTTCAAATCTTGGGCTCTACAGTAAGAGTTGGTGTTCTATAATGGAATTATACTTTTCTACTTCTAGAGAGAAGCAAAAAACAGCAAAAGAAAATTACTTATTCTTCCATAGCATTTTGGGTAACAGCATTAGCTAGGACTGGTAACTGTTCTAAAGATGCTCACAAATTAAACCTGGCAAGTACTTAATTTTAAATTTCCCTAAAATTGCTTGTTTTATATTCCACACAATTACATGAACTCTATTTGATTGCTTAAAATATTATTTTAAGGTTTTATATATTATACACTACTTACCATGCCAAAGTTGTTCCTACCAATGGAGTAGCCTATGGCTGATTTCTATAGCTGTACAAGTTCCTTGGCTTCAAACATTTGTGTGCTGCTTTTTTTTTTTTTTTTTTATTTTTCTAGAAGCAAGTATGTTAAAGTGAATAAGCCTACTTCCGTGAAGCTCATTCTCTCTTTTATTAAGTGTTTCATTTTGTTCATGCAGTTTTGTCCCACTCAATGGCCTTTCTCCATCTGTAATATTGATCAGAAGCCCAGCAAGCTAAGAAAATCCAAACAAAGGACTTTTAGCTTCTGTTACCTACTGCATCAACTGCTATGTTTTGATCATACATGTTAAAAATGGACAGCCTACATGCTTCTGGCAGCTTTGTACATCAGGTGAATCCAGTCAGGCTGAAGTTGCCTTTGGATCAGTCACACACTCAAATTGTCCTTGTAAGAATAAGGAACATGCAGTAGGGGTATCCATAAAGTGGTCCACACCTTCACAATTTTTAAGTATGAAAGATAACAGATTACACTTCAAAGTAGTACAAATTAAAGAAGGATTCTGTTTTTCAATGATTTTTTTTGTTTGTTTTTTTAATTACTTATCCACTGTTCAAAATTTTCCCTTCAGCCATGAAGCCTCCACATCTTTAAGAACCTGAGAGAAAACATCTTTAAGCTAGAAAGACATTAGCCTTGGAACTGAGGTGACAAAAAGGTTTTCCATGCTCCTTTCTGTCCTTTTTCTGTCAGAAACTGATTACTGCTTATGCACATGCATACATGAACAGGAAGTTTATCATGTGTTTGCATGCATACTTTTGTACACTCAGGATTTCAAATAATTTTATGAAGTAGTTGCCAGCAAAAGGAAATGCAGCTTTATGCTTCATAGTGCAATCTAGAGCAACCTGAATCTGTCTTACAAAGAAGTAGGTCATAATGCTGAAAGATTCATCTTATAAAAAAAAAAAATATTCATAGGAGACTTAACTGTTCAACAGATGTCACTAATCTTTTATTAGGTAGAAGCACTGGAACTTCTCTTGTGATGTTTTTAAAATCGGCCAGAGCCAGTTGTGTTTGGTGTTTTGTACAGAAAAATTGTTAGCATCTCAGCCTATTTTTTACATTGGCCAAAAAAGTTCTTTAATTCAGATCTAGGGGGATTTAATTTTTTTCTATTGTTTAGCTGCAATTAAGAATGATCACCCTTCTTTCTGTTTCATTAAATGCCATTTTATAATTTTTGTGAGAAGAAATCTTTAAATGCTATAGAAATTACATTTGTAACTTTTGTAGTATATGCTCCTCTTTTTAAGGTCATAAATTCTATTTCTGAGGCAGTACCTTACATTTCACCCTTAAGATTTTCTGTCTCTGATGTCTATGGAAGTACTGTGAAAATTTTCTGATTGGAAATATACTCCATTAATTTTTATTTATTCTTTAAATGTTAGCAATATTGTTCTGTGAATAGACTTTTGAAATTACTGTAGATTCTATTTTAAATAATAAACCTTGCCTGTTTTTCTCATTTTTTTCCCCAGAAGTAAGTACCAAGTGAAATGTTGCCGTAAGTATGAACACTGTGCATCTGCTCACACTGGGTTGCATTCCCACGAAGACTGTGTGTGGATGTTAGTCAAGCATGTGCTTAAATACTGCAGTAAGTGCTTATAAGTGGTCCTGATTCTGTATGTGTTATGTGTCAGGATTCTGCTAGTGATAGTAGCAGCAATTTAGTCTTTTGTCAGTGGGATTATGATTGCTTCCCTCTCTTCTTCCAGGTAGAAGGAGTGATACGAGTTGTTGCTGCTGCTGCTGCTTAACAATTTTGAAACCACCAAAGTGAGAATATTCTCTTTTTTGCTGGTGCTGGAGTGCAGTCAATTTCCTAAAACTTACGGAGAAAGATTTTGGTTTAGAACCAGGGGCTAAGCTCAAGAGTTGAATAACCCAAGACAGGGAATTTAATAATCTTAAGCAGGATTATTAAACAGGCATATGAAAGGCTTTTTAGGACACTGGAATAATCACAGAGGAAAACTAGTAGGGCCTCGGCACGTGAGACTGCACAGCAGGAGAATGGCTGTAAAATGCCACTTTATGCTTCTTGAAGCCATTGCAGTTTTCTTGCAGACAAGCATAACTTCAATGCACTGACTTCTACGCTTCTGCAGTTCACTCTCTTAGGATTTTAAGCCCTTCTCTTTACAACCCCTTTTAACTTCAGTGTACTTTGTCTACCTCTTTAAAATCCTTCACCAAATTTGTAGCAATGCTTTCTGTGAACCAACTTAGGAGAGCAGGAATTTAGCAGAGGAAAAGTTAAGTTTGTAAGTCTAATCACTACTGTTGTCAGTGAGCAGCTGTTGGGGCATAGCAGCTGAGAGAAAAAGGCAGGGCCTTTTGTCCTGAGATTGATTTGCTCAGCAGGATCTCCCTTGCATCATCATGGATTTTCTTAGTTTTGTGAATTCCTTCATTCCAGGGCTCCTACCTGAAAATTTCCAAGCAAAGATTCAAGGAGGGAACATTCAAGAAGTACATAGTTTTGCAGGAGGCTTCAAAAATGAATTAAAATTCATGTTGTGTGCATTTGTCAACTAGTAACTGAGTAATTTCTTGGAGTAGCAGGTACATCAACAGGATGGTAACTATAAAATCTGTATCTACATGTCTACGTGAGGTCCTGTGATCTTCATGAGGGCTCTGCCCCAGGAGCAAAATAGCAAGTTCTTTTTCCCAGCAGTTACAGGTAAACCCTGTTGTTTTGGTTTTTATTTTCCTGTTATTGGACATGAAACTTGCTGTACTAGATAAATGTGTCTTTATTTTTCATTATTTTTATTTTTAGTTATTATATTGAATTGTGCTTCGTCATTCAAATATTGCTCACCTATTTACTGTCACAAAAGAGAAGTTCACTTCCTCATCCAAATGTTTCCTTTGCAGGATTTAGAGAAAAAGCATGTTCTGTTTACTTTGTGTCTTAGAGAACTTTCAGAAGACTCTAGGTTTTTTGTCTGTGTGTGTGTGTGTTTAATGAAGTAAAAAAGGAAGAAAAGAAAGGAGAAAAAGAAATGGGATGTAAAGGTGTCCTGACTTTGTAAGAATCAAACTGAGAAACAGTTCTTAAGAAGCTATGAATGCTTTCCCCTTGACTCTTAAAATATTCTTTTAGCTTTTCTCTTTGAGAGCATTAATGCATGTGCAAGACACTAGTGCGTTTAATAGTAGAATATTAATGTCTTTTCCATGTATTTTATAAGTTCTGCTGTCTTATAAAACTTGAGATCTTTTACTGGAGTGGGGGTGGTGAGGAGTAAAAAGCATGTTTACTTTTTTTATGCTTGGAACGTTTTGTTCAACAGAATGCACGTCTGTGTGATTTCACTGACTGCTGCCTAGGCCATGGCAGGTTCTCTGAAAATCTTGATTCTGCTCAGGAGGAAGACATCCAAGAGCAGGGCTAGAGGCAGATTATGAACGCATGGGAGCAAAACATCAGTGAACTTTTGGAACTCTTCCTTGGAAGGGTTTGCGTGTTCCAGCTGTTAGACTTAGAGATGAAATATGACTCAGAGCATTAATCTCAGTAAGAACCATTGAAATGGAAAATAAATAATGTGGAGACCAAGGTGTAATTAAAAGTTTAGTGATTATGTTTCTTTTTTCAGCAAATCTTTGTACTGCTCAGAGCCAAGCAGTCATTTAGGTACCTGCTAAAAATTCACAAAGCAATTTTTGTGGCGCTTGGTAGTAGATTATTGTTTTACTCTTAGGTAGTGACAGTTGTTCCTAATGCCAAGAATCATATTGCAACTTCTGCTCTTGTTAAGGACAAAGGTTGGACCAGCATCAGAGATGAAATAAAGAGAAGCAAAAAAAGTTATTTGAATTTAGCATTCTCCAGTAAGCAATACACAAGAAGGTAAAGAACATACGTGATTATTTTCTTGTATTTGGAGAATCTTGTTGGATACAGATGTGAGAGCTGTTTCCAATCTCTCATAATGTGGAATTTGTACTTTCAGTATTGGTATTTTAAAGATACTTGTGAAGTGAGTGGGTGGAGACTAAAAGAGTGAGCTGCTATGAATGTGCCAACTTTCCTAAATACTGAAGGATTAATACGAGGCATTCCAGAAGATATATGCATGAGATATTTGTGGCTTGTCTGTTAGGTGACTTCAGCAGTCTGCGTATCTCCTACTGTGCCAGTTGTCCAACATCTGAAATTTTGCAGTATTTGAAGTCCAAACACACTGAATTGCTTCTAAATATTTGAGCTTGTTCAAGATCGCACACTGATTACGTAGTCAAGATGGGAGAAGAGCCAAGTATTTTGTCCCACTGTCCTGTACGCTAACCTTACACTGCACTTAGTGCTTCTATTAATAATTATCAAGTGTTCTTCTGTATTAAAGCAGGCGTTTCCTTGCATAGAATTCTACCTGGTGATCTTTTAGGGAGATAATATTTGGTACTGCTAGTACAACTCACAAAAATGTGATAATACTTAGTGAGACAAGTTAATCATTTAAGAATAGTATCTGCAAGAAGTTTTCCTCATGCTTTTTAGTCTGAATTGGCTAGATAAAGATATTTTTTCCATTCTAGGGAATCTCTAGTTCAAGTATGACAGCAAAACTGGAAGGTATTTCCTTGAATTAAGCTTACTCCTAGGACTTAATTGAATTAATTCAGTTTTACTGGTGGATGCTGTTTTTCTTCTTTTCACTCAGCAACTGGTTCCCAGTGCAACTGGATCCAGTGTCCAAGTGAATCATGCTTTGAACAGGTGTTGAACTAAATGAACTCCTGACATCTCTGAATTATTCTGTGTTGTCAAGAGGAGAAGAATTAAGATTCCCAATTGTGTTTTCCTTCTTAAGTCCTTCTTATCTTATTTCCTTCCCTAACTCCTCCTAGGCAATTACTTTCAAGGCTTGAGCTGAAGCTTAAAAAAAAAAAAAAAAAAAAAAAAAGGAACAATTCAGAACTATTTTTTAATCTTGTAACAAAAGTTCTTCCTTCATGCCTTCCCCTTCCCTTTGAAATAACTTTTGCTGATCTATCAGTAGTGGATTTTTAAAGCCTGAGTAATCAGTAACTCAATTAATTTCAACGTGATTTTTTTATTGTTGTCACTGTAGTAGAAAATATCCAAGCAGCTGTGACAAATTTGGATAAGGAAGCTAACTTGGCATGCCTTCATTCTCCATGTGTGTTCTAATGTCAGTGCATGCTGATTTTTTTTTTTTTCCTCAATCTGTTATGGCAGGTTTGCCTCATACAATGCTATATGCTGAAGAGAGAAAGCTTTATAGAACAGAAAATCTAGATCAAGCTCAAAGCTTGAGCAGATTTCAGATTTTCTGGTTATAAGTCTCCCAGTGATAACATTGAATTTGCACTCTTGCAAGGCAGTGGTTTATTTAAAACTCTTAGTGTTTTCCTTGAACTGAAGTACTGAAGAACAGGACAAGTTTGACGTACTTCCTAATAAAAACACTTTATGGAAGGTTTGGGACGCAGCAATATATTCAGTTTAGGTGCAAGCTTATCTTTGCTTGGGCTGATCTGATTCTGCTGGCAAAAACACCACAGCAAACTAAACCTTAGAAGTTCTTCATTTGATGGCTTTTTTTCAAAGTGCTATTTAAACCTGTTCAGAATCTGTGAGGAAAAGATACAGAACTAATAATTACTCTAGTCATAGTGCTTGTCTACACTTTTTCTTCTAGAATCATGGGATTGATCTTAGAAATGTGTGGAATTCTTGAGAAGGTTTCTCAATTGGAGAATGTCTTCTCCCATGGCAGAAACTCAGTTAATTAACAGGAAATGTAAGGCTCCAAGGAACTGTGGTGTGAACACACCTGCAAATCCTCTGCTATAAAGCTACAAAACGGGGTGAGGGGAATACCTCTGTCAGACTGTAAAAGCTGAAAATCAGCTTCCATTTTTCTCACATTGAAACACAGAGGGAAATAATTCCATGTTGTGGTGAACTGAATATGTGGTTCAATGTTTGGTTTGATGCGTGCTTCTCCCCAGAAGAAGAAACCGAATCCAAGAAGTGGCGCATGTATTTGGGGGTACAAACTTAATTCTGGTGTTAAAACACACAGCTTCAGAATCTTAAGGAATCGTTGTATTTTCAGCAGTTATAAAAGCTGTCCCTGGGCTGCTGCTTTGCCTGCTGGGTCTGAACTGTTGTGCTTGGGCCAAGAGGGGGCAGAGGTGGTCCAGTGGCCTTCACAGAGCCTCTTGAATAGGTAGTTGTTTGCCCTGTGCCATCTTCTCCAACACTCCCTTCCAAAGGGAAGTAATAAATTGTATTGAAATAAGGAAAAAATAAAATTACATAATAGTTTGTGCTCTTTGGTTTGGGGGGTGATGATTTGTTATAGTGCTTATCAAGAGTTTGGCTCACTCAGGTTTGCTTTCCAGAGAGCCTTTAATGATTAAGTGATTAAGCCTTTGTGCCATGTTTTCCTAGATTTAAAATAAGAATAGCCTGTCTGTGGCTGCTCTTAATTTGCTTAGGTAGTCTATCAGTTTTTAGGTACTGTGTTTTTCACTTTTCATTTGTTACCAGTCTGGCACTGTGGGTCTTGGTTGTCTTTCTCAAGGCTCCAAGGAGCTGACATTACGCCACTGGTACTCCTAATGTTTAGAAGTTCTCCAAAAACTTAAACTAATACAGAATGTCTGATTCTGTAGCTTTTTTTAATGATTCTCTGCAGGTCAGAAACATCTGAAAAGTATGTCTGGTAATTGCAGTCCAGCTGTTAAGGAACAGATATCTCTGTCTTGGAAAGTTTGTTTCTGCCAATTGGACTCTTTCCATGACAGTTTCATCAGCTAAGCAGATACATGCACACTCTTCCTTGTTGTATATGAGGAAAAATTATTTCACTAGCGGAGTGGAACTATGGAAAAGGACAGAAACCAGTATATCTGTACATCAGCTGAAAGAGATCTTCTTGAAATGTTTACAGGTTTGGGTACAAAGTCTTACACGTGTATTGGGCTTAGAAAACTTGTAAGGGATCTAAATGCAGATCTCTGGATTTCTGCTCAGTTACAGATGTGTAGGTAGATGGTAAGTTAGAAGGCAAGACAAATACATCATATTGAAGGTAAGAGAATTATAGGGCTTTCTTGTAAATGCTGAAAGGAATATACTGATGCTAGCTTTAGGATACAGGTTTCTGAAACCCGAAATGTACATTTGAGTGAGAATTACAACTAACACTAGAAATGGCTGTTTCTGCCAGATAACTGCCAATTATTGGACCCTGACTTGCTGATATTACAAATAAGTAGGGTGCACAGAATAACTAGCTTCATTTAGTTCAGGAATAGAAGCTGGTTATTTCATTGTTGTTGTACAATATTTGCTGTGATCACACCCAGAACAATAATGAGGGCTTATGCCAAACAGTATGATATAAATGATATTTGGGTGTGAACGCAGGTTGGCTCTTGTCTGACTACAAATTTTCAGAAGATTTGTGCTCTTGCAGAGGTTTGACTTCTAATTTCAGGGGCTTTTCTGGGTCATGTTGGTGTGAAGATGACCACAATACACCACATAAATGGAAGATGTGAATTTAAAATATGCTCCATGATCTTGTGTAGGCCACATCAGCACCATCAGTAGAAATATACCATTCAGGAATCTGGCGTTCTGCTTCATTCTCTTCTTATCAGAGTGTTGAACAGTGAGAGGCACAATACCTTCCA